AGAATTGTAGAGTTTTTTTTTGTTTACTCTGCCGTTCTCTGTAAAGTCTCTAAAGACTTCTACAAGGTCTAGTAAACTAGTTTGCCTAGTAGGGTTGTTCTCAGCTAGGTTAGCTGCTTGGATTACTAGGTTTCTAGCAATCTCTAAGGCTTCCTCAATAGAGGTTGCCTTTGGTGTTTTCCCTACTGTAGGGTATCTTGGCACTGCTCCAATAAATGGAGAAAAATTGCTTCTTGTCCTAGTATGGGTAGGCCTAGGCGGTTCTTCTGGTTGCCTGTTAGGGCACGGCGTAGAGGCCTCCTCAGCCATCTCGATTTCTGGATTATTATCCATTAGTCGTTTGCTTGTGCCTCTAAGGTCCTTTGAGGCTAGTCTTTTTTTGTTATTTTTATTGTTTTGATATGTCTGTGTTTCTTGCTGAATTTGAGCTTCAATAAGCTCCTGCGTTCCTATTGGCCCCTCTAGTCTTGGCATTAGAGCCCAAGCTCTGTGAGAAAATTCTCACAGGCGTGAGATAACGAAGGAAGGCCTCCTTCTTCTCCCTACTGCGCGCTAGCGCCTTAGCTGCAGGTGTTGAAAGTGCTGTTAGTCGATTCCTCGTGGTCGGTTCTCCTAGATAGCGTGCTTTCCTAGCGGTTTCCAGAAAACTCGAAGTTGGTGTGTGTTCGGGTCGGTTCTCTTAGATAGCGTGCTTTCCTAGCGGTTTCCAGAAAACTCGAAGTTGGTGTTTTGTAATAGCCCCTAATTACCATAGATAGAGTAGCAATAATACCCGCTAGCTGGTCTCGGGTCATCAAACTTACCGCTGTAGTACTGTAGCTCATGAATAAAAGCTGACCCTGTAGACTTACATTCTAATTGCCCCAGATATTCTCTACAGTCGTTACAGCACGGCATATGCGGGGTTTCGGTGGGGGATTCAGCCTCAGTCCAAATGACGCCTCCTACAGCTGAGCACCGGCCGCCTGTCATGTTCACCCGTTCGCCCGTCAACACCGAATCCTTTATCCCCTACAAACGCCCAAGGACAGCGCGTTGCAGTGCAGATCTGTAGTTTCTTTATCCTTTCCCTGTACCTTGACTTTGTGCTCTTTTCAAAAGCACTGGGATGCTAGACGGAAAAAAAACCAGCGAGAGACTCACCAGTCAATGAGCTAATGTGGTGGCCATTACCTAATAGCTACTCATTGCATTGATATAGCCGCCCTCTGCCATGTGCATGAGTTGCAGCGGTATGATCGTCTCGCATTTCCTTTTCCGGCGCAGAGCTGAGTCCAGCTTTCCTATTACAGAAGGTTTGACGATAGTCTTCGCGCCACACCGCCACGATTGCACGCGATTTAGTTTTCAGTCAGTGTCTGATGAGGCGTAGCGTGAGATCAGGTGAGATCCTCATAATTTTCTTGGTTTTTACCAGCAATGTGAGCAGAGTCTCAGGCTGTGGCTACAAGCCACGCAGAAGACAACTACAGCTCACCTTCAGAGTTGATATGGCATCCATAAACAACGTCCAGAATTCCGCCATGATTTCACATGGGGCCACCGCAGCCTGACATTTAGGTATGAGCATCTGAGATCATCGGTTGCTATCGTCATGGAAAGGCGATACCGAGATAGATATATTGTGAACTGAACCCAGGCAGCGGGAGATTCACTACCTTGAAGTGAAAACCACCCAAGCACAAAAACTCGTTATAGTTGTGACCTATCTCATTCACCATGTCATCAGTTACGAGCTGGTACTCCCTATGCGGGCTGCAAGGAGCCTACGCTTTCAACTTTACCTGTTTCGGTCAAGGCTGTGACTTTTTGTCTTCCTTTCCAAATGTCACCTGCAACACAAATGAGTCAGGCTTGACGTGCACCAACGGTATCCAATGCACTGATACTCCGGAGTTTTGGGACGTCACTTCGTGGTCGCTAAACGGGACGCGACTGATTCACGTCGAGAATATCACGGTGTCTGAGGAGCATTATCCTGCCGCGGATCAAACTATCCCAGCATCAAGTAACACGACCACGCGTAACCCAGACTGTATTCCAAAGACGCGCCGCGAACGGGCATCGACGACGGCTTGGTTCTACCACGATGATCCCCATAATCATGGATCAACAGACATCCCGCACGCGCTTGAAAAAAGAGAGCGACGACTGGGAACCCAATCTTCACTTCGCGAAGATGTAATAAGTCTTGTCAACTTTGTGCGCGACACAACCAAAGCAAGCAACAACAAAGCCGTTCAGAGCTTCGATGTCGACGATGTCGCAGTCAAGATCTTCGATTTTGCGTGTGAGAAACTTGCCAATATAGCTGGGAACAAAGGAATTGTGGCCTTCACAACCTTCGCTCTGGAACTCGAGTCGTTCCGCACCGGGTGCGCTACACTCGTCACCGGAGTAATCGAAGGACTGCTGGCCGAGACAGGCCCTGCTGATATTGCTGCTCTCCCGTTGATCGGCTGGGCTGCAAATTCGCTATGTTCGGCAGTTATTGCACAAACTTTTCTTACTGCAATTCCGGGCTCGAGGCAAACATACAACAGCCTCAAGAAGCAACTTTGTGGAAAGGTGAAGTGTATGTTCATAACTGACACACTATCTGATCACGCAAATTGTGGACGTTGTAACCATCATGTAAGCTTTCATCTGTCACATTCCTTGCCCTGCTAACTCGTGCAGTGTGGCTCTTCAGATGTCTGCATTAACGGGGCCTGCTCAAACCAATATTGCGGTGGTTCACACACTGATTTCAGCCGATGCGGTTATGGAGACAATTACGATACTTGCACGTGCGCAAGCACCTTCTCTGGCACTGGCTTGTGCGCTGAATACACTACCTCCTGCGTTGGATCTCTCACGGACGATTGTGAATCGAGCGATGACTGCAAAACAGGATTCATCTGCGGCCTCATGCCAGGTTGCGATACTCAAACTTGCTTGAATGTGGCTCCCTGCGGTACAGCGGATCGCCCTTCAGACCAGACCGAAACACTGCCCCAAGAACAGCAAAAGGACTGGTGGACTTTCCGACTTCTCAATGATGAGACGCGGCAATACGTCCAAAACCCCGGTTCAGTATACAGCATCGATCATTCAAATCTCATCAGCTCGGATACTGGAATCGAAGTGAACACCAACTGCATCAAAGTCATCGACACGGTCTCCAACTTTATCGGCTCGTACCTGAATAAGAACGATGATTTCTATTTTGGATGGGACCCCAAGGGAGAGGCGTTTCCGGAAACAGATACATGCTGCTTGCAAGTGTTTGGTAATGACAACTGTGCTATTGAAGCTAATGCTGAGGACTACGAGACGTATTGCCAATCTGGGGGCGGAAAGTGGAAATTCGCGTTCAACGTGGCATCATGGCAGGTTACAAACTGTGTGTCCATGTTCGAGCCCTAGAGTGGCTTTTTTTTGGAGGAGCAGCCGAACCGCTTTCTGCGACACAAGAGGGATGCCTGTACGGGAAGCTTTGGCTATCGAAGCACATCGAGTTTTTGAATCTTGTGTGAAATATACTCTAGTTAAGTAGCTAGCAGCGCTAAAAGCGAGAGCGTGTTATGATAGCTGGATACGCGAGTAGAGTACTTATAGCTAATTACGTCAAGTAAAGCGCCTTATCTACAAAGTAAAAGCAGTACAGAAAAGAGAAAAGGGCAAATTAATATTGCTATTGCTGTTTAGGGCAGCGGCGACGTTTTTCGCTGGTACATTTGTGTGGAGGAGTGGTAGTAGTGGTGGTAGTCGACTTTACAGCGTGCGAAAGCCTCAACGCTAGAATCTAGAATAATACCCCAGACGATAATTGCAACATCAGTTGAATTCATCAACCGATCATGCCTGTTTCCATTAGCATCAAAGTTCAAAGCTGCGGATCTTCAAAGTACTACACCCAGCTACTCCTCTTCTGTTCATCCACCCGTCCTTCGCACTAACCATTACTAGATGCAACACCATTACCCCCCTAGATCGACAACTCAGCACCCCACCTCCACCACTCCCCCCCTGGATCTCCATCCGCATCCGCAGATCCCCCTGCACCCACGTCCATGTATCCACCTCTTTCACCGGCCCCTTGCATACCCACACCCCACCATTCTCTCAAGTACGCATCTCTCCTCCGGTCCAGAGCACGACCCACAAGCGCTCTCTGACACCTAGTCAGGCACCGCGGCTGCGCCCTTGCACTGCTGATTAAAAATACCAAGACGAAGAGAACAAGGGCATGTCCCGCAATGCCGAGACATGCGTGATTTTTTTCCCCGCTCTGGTTCTAGGTACGTACGTACGTGTATTCCCACGTTCTGCATGTTTCAAGCGCCTTGATTTAGTCATGCACACGTACCTGTACCTCTACCTACATGCCACGCCTTCGTCCAGCTCCGGCCGCCCGCCTAGCAAGGTGGAGTGTGGTAGTGTGGTGTGTGGTGTGGTGTGGGGGGGAAAAAGCGCCAAGTACCGGTACGTACTTACTTAGGACTTTACGCAAGTGTTTCACCGGTCCAGGTACACCTGCGCCTCCGCCTCCAGCTCCACATACGACATACGTACATGCTTCAAGTTGCCTACACCCACGCACCTGGAACAAACGCAAACGCGGGCTTTTCTTCTTCTTCTTCTTCTTCTTCTTCTTCTTCTTCTTCTTCTTCTTCTTTCTCAGTGCCAGCTCCGTCTTGGCTCAACTAACTAACTTCCTAACTAGCCAACTACGTAACCTGACCGAACTGAACGACCGACTGACCTCACCGGCAGTGTCCTTGTCCTCGCATTACCTCGGTTGCTACACCTATACATGCACACAGCTATACCTACAACCCCCCCCCCTCCCCCATCACCATACATACACCTATACCTGCGTGGGGAAGGGGGAGGGGGGGGAACTGTGGCGCGGAACTCTCTTATTCCAGACTTACATTCCAGACTTACTTAGTTGCTCGCTTTACCTGTGTACGAGTCAAGATGCGGTATTTCTTTTCCCTTTTTTTTTTCTTTTAAACCTACAAAAGTACCCTGTACCCTGGATATAAGTACCCAAAGCTATCTTACACACATCCATACACACACACACACACACCGACAGAGAAACAGAGAGAAAGAAAGACACATGCTGCACGTATACACACAATAACCATTACGTAGATAGGATAGTTACATACCTCGTCACGTGAGACGCAACAAACAGACAGACAGACAGACAGACAGACGGAAAGTAACCTTGTTTCAAGGCGGAAGAGAAGGCTAAGTACATGGACTTTTTGCCTAGTTAGGCCGAAGCCGTGAGTGAGCGCCTGCAGGTGCGCCCCGATTGACCAGTGTTGTTGAAGGCAGGGATCGCGGAGGAAAGGGTGGGGGGGGGTGCCGGTACCATGTTAGCTGCCCCTACCGCTAGCTAGCTAGCTAGCTAGTTGGCTAATACACCTAGATGGCCATACCCCGGACATGTTGGACTCGGAATCGCCAAGGAACCTGCTTTATCAATTTTTTTCTTCTTCTTCTTTTGCTCCATCCAGCGTGTGTCCGGGGAGGGGGGGGGGGCTTTTTTTTCCTGTTTGTCACATGCGAGTCAGCAGCAGAATTTATTTTTTTAACTTTGTGAGTGTGTGTGTGTGTGTGTGTGTCGTAGCAGTGATTCGTCATTTCGTACTTTATCGTAAATAGGCTACGTCTCCGGGAGTTACAAAAAAGTATACGTAGTGTCTCTTGCGAGCGCTTGTTAAGTGGTCTAAGGAAAACTGGTGAAGAGTAAAAAAAGAGAGAGAAAAGGATACAAGTAGTATTACACAAACGCCGCTCCATGCCCGTCCTCGCCCAAAACTCCAGAAACACCTATTGTATGAGTTCCTTTCAATGGTATAGAGCAATCCCGCAGATCCATTAACTCCTTGCCGTTCCGTGAAGAATCCTTTCTCATGATAAATATTTTTCTTTCCAATGTACAATGAAGTTAAGCAATCCTCTTCTTCAATCCTCCAAATAGTCCCTTGAGACCGCTTGTCTCTTCCTTCTTCTTCCTTCGGTCCCGACGCTCCGTCTCGCCTCGCCTGGCGCGTGGGCGCTCTTCGCCGCGGTCTCGGGCTCGTGTACGGTCAGTACGATCAGTCTCGGTGCGGCGACCAGATGGCCGCTCCTTCTCAGTGACCGAGATGCGACGTGACTTGGGGCGTTCTTCCGGCTTGGACATGCGCCTATTGCGCCGACGCTCGCGTCGCTCTTCGTCCGAGTACGACGCTACCCCAACTACTGCAGCTGCATCTTCAATGAACGGCGACTCGGCGTACTCGAGTGACTCGGGTTCAAGCTCGTCTTCAAAGGGCTCGGGTGGTGGTGGCGGCGGTGGAAGATCGTCAAAGGCCGGGGGATGAATTCCATCCCTACCACCAGACATCTCATGTTCTGGACGGCGCATATAACGCCGCTCTTCTTTCCACCTGTAGTACTCAGCTTCTTCTTCAGGAGACGCAAACTGCCGACGTTGGTGTGAGTGGCGCCGACTACGATGAGGACGTTCGGCTCGGTCGCGGCTTTCGTTGTTAGAAGAAAGATCCCTATTGGGTGAGCTGTCTACCTCGAGATCCCTTCTTGGAACTCTGACAGGACCCTCTAGCGTATTCGCACGTGCGCGAGTTGACGACCGGACAGGTTTCGACACGGGTGGCGGAGGAGCGTCAGTTTTCGTACGACCGAAAAGGCCACCGAAAATGCCGGCACGCTTGACATTAGGTGTCGTCTCTCGGGTGCTCAGGCGTCTTCGCGGTGTACTGCGAGGCGGGGTATCATCGGCTAGGGGTGGTAGAGGAGGGGGTGACGACGGCTCGTCATAATGTTCTGCAGCACGTCTAGCCGTATCACGAGATGGCTCAATGTACTCTTCATGATGTAAAGCTGCTAGTTTCGCAGCCTCACGCTCTGCCCTCTTTTGCCGTCGAAGCCTCCTAGCCTCCTCCTCTTCACGTGCGGCCTGTTCAATCTTCTGCTGTTCCAAACGTCTGGCCTCCTTTTCGGCCTCGTGCCTCTGGCGCCGCTTTTCGTGTCGAAGTCGCCTCTCCTCTTCTTCAATAGCGTGCTTCTTCTCTTCCTTGAGCCTTCGGCGTTCCTCGACCGCCCTGACAAGCTCTTCCTCTGCTCGCTTGACTGCACGGCGTCGCTCACGGTGCTCTAGTTTTCTAGCTTCCTCTTCGGCTTTGAGCCTAGCGGCATCTGCTGCAGCGAGTCGCTCCTTCTCAGCTCTGCGAGCCTCACGCCGCCTTTGTCTCTCGGCATCGTCTTCCTTTTCTTCAATGGGCCGGCGCTTACTGTGCCTTTCATCGCTCCTGCTGTCACGGCGGCGAGATCGATACTCGGGATAGGCTTTCTCCCTGTCACTGACACTGCCAGATTTCTCAGCCTCACGTAATCGTTCCCTCCTTCGCTCCGCCTCGCGTTCGTTCATGCTATCGCGACGCTTAGTCTTTAGCGCGCCAGGAATCTCTGGTGGAGCCATGACTGGGCGCTCCCTAGTACTAGCTTCACTTTCGCGTCTACGACTTGAATGGTGGTGACCATCACGGTGAGCGTGCGAGTGACGTCGACGAGGCTTCTCCCGGACATGAGGCTCAGCTGCGACCTCGTCGTCGATTGCAAAATCGCGTTCTCTGGATGCAGAATGCTCAGCATGCTTGTCGGAGGCGATAATGGCGGCTGCTCCTGCTCCTACTGCCACTGCCGCAGCAGCAGCCGCGGGCGCGACAAATGATGGGAGCTGATTCGAATCCTCATCAACATCGGGTGACCGCTCCACAGGTGCGACGTCATCCACAACTTCTTCATTGGCTGCCTCCGTCACCTCCTCCAGCGGTTCAGCCTGTGGTTCTGGGACTGGCGCATCTACACCCGCATCGGCAATTGGCTCGGCTGGTACTGGCTCTGGCTCTGGCTCTGGCTCTGGCTCCAAATTCGGCTCAGTCGGTGCAGGCTCGGGCTCTGCCTCCGGTTCTGGCTCGGGCTCGGGCTCTGGTGCTGGCTCTGGTTCCGCCTCTGGTGCTGGTTCTGGCTCGGCTGCTGGTTCTGGTGTTGGTTCCGGTACTGGCTCTGGCTCGGCCTCTGGCTCTGGCTCTGGCTCTGGCTCAGCGGCTGGCTCCGGCTCTGGCTCGACCACTGGTTCTGGTATCGGTTCTGGCTCGGCTGCTGGTTCAGGTGTTGGTTCTGGCTCCGCCTCAGGCTCCGGAGCTGGTTCAACAGGCGCGGCCTCTTCCAGAGGAGACGGCTCAGGAGCTTCAACAGCTTCAGGCTCCTCCGCTGGAATAGCATCTGCTTCAGGTGCTGGCTCGGGCTCTGTGGATTCAGGTTCAGGCTCTGCAGGCGCAGGTTCAGGCTCTGCAGGTGCTGGCTCAGGCTCCGCAGGCGCTGGCTCAGGCTCTGCAGGCGCTGGCTCAGGTTCTGCCACCTCTTCTGGTGCATCTTCGGGGTCTGCCTGTGGCTCTTCTTCAGGTACTGGCAGAGACTCCTCTTCAGGCTGCGCTTCTACAAGAGTCTCAACAGGCTCTGGGTCCGGCTCTGCTGCTGGAGGAGCTTCTTCAACGGGAGGCTCCTGTTCTTCAATGACCTCCGCAACTGGCTCAGCTGCCTCCACTGGCTCAACAAGTGCCTCCACTGGTTCGGGGGCTGCCTCCACTAGTTCAGGAAGTACCTCGGCAGGCTCGCTTTCCACCACTGCAACCTCTTCAGCAACCGGGGCGACCTCTTCTACCAGTGATTCATCATCTTCCGATACAGATGGCGATTCGTCGACTGATGCGGTTTCCTCCGGAGCTGGCTCTGCTGAGTCATCCTCGGCAGGTGGGGCAAGCTCTACCACCTCGGGCTCTTCGACGGGAGCTGGGTCAGCATCTGCATCAACAGCTGCGCTATCCTCAGCTAGCTCTTCGTGGTCGTGTTCCTCTTCATGAATTTCGTCTGCAGGGGCCACATCCACAACGGCCGCGTCTTCGGGTGCCGGAGCAGGCGGGTCTGATTCTTGAGCATCTTGCACTTCTTCCACGTCCGCGGAGGGTTCCTGTGGCTCAGGTGCTTGGGGCTCCGAATCAGCAGTCTCCTCGACCGGCTGGACTTCTGCCTCTGCTGGAGCAACGTCAACCTCATCGGCTCCATCTGCAGTTGAAGCAGCGTCGACCTCAGGTGCTTCGCTTGGAGCTTCTGGTTCCGCTTCGATTTCTCCAGCTTCAGCTTCAGCGTCGCTCTCATTCTCACTTCCCCAGGATGCATCATCCTCTTCCTCCTCTTCCTCTTCCTCTTCTTCTTGAGGTGCTTCCTCTGCTGGTTGAGGGGCATCCTGTGGCTCAGCAGCCTCTACATTAACAGCTGCATCTTCCTGTGCATCCTCTGAGCCTTGCGAAGACACCATGGAGTCTTCATCGGCAGGGGCCTCAGCGTTATCCCCAGCCCAGCTTTCTGAATCGGCTTCGGAGCCGTCTTCAGGCTCGGAAGGCGCCGCCTCAGCTTCAGGAATGGCCTCGGCTTCAGGAACGGCCTCGGCTTCAGGAACGGCCTCAGCTTCAGGAACGGCCTCAGCTTCAGGAACGACCTCAGCTTCAGGGGCGACCTCAGGGCTGACCTCAGGGCTGACCTCAGGGACGACCTCAGGGCTGACCTCAGGAACAACCTCAGGAATGGCCTCAGCTTCGGGATTCTCAGTCGGGGCGGGCTCTGCAGGCGGCTCGGAGGCAATAGCATCTTCAGCCACAGTTTGGTTGTCATCTTCAACCAAGCTAGATTCACCCTCTTCCTGCTCGGCTGCTACCGACACCTCAGAGGCCGAGCCTACAAGACTCTGGTCAACACCATCCTCAGCCTGAGCTTCAAGTGGAGCTTGGGGCTCTTCAATGGCTGGAGGGGCATCTTGCTCGTGGGCCTCGTCTTCGAGTTGGCCATGCTCACTCAGAGCTGGTTCGGAGACGGGTGCGTCGCCAGCCTCGGATCCATCTACAACAGGCGAGAGGGATGACACTTCAGACCCAGACCAGTCGTCGTCGTCAGACTCGGGCTCACTTCCCGTGTCATATTCTGGCTCGCCCGCTACTTGTTCCTGGGGTGCTGGTGCTGCGTTGCCCTTCATGACAAGGTCGGGTTGGTGAGACACGACTGAAGAGCTGAGTTCGGAAGCACCCTGTAATTCATGAGCATGGACTCGCAAGATCATGTGGACCACGAAGCACAGGACTGCAAGGCAAAGATGAGAAGGCAGTCGTACGTACCGAGTCGGACACCGCGCTGGCCGGCATGTCTGGAGCAGGGCTTTGTTCGCTTTCTGCTGGTGCTGGGTCTGGTGCTATGACATCTTGATGGATCGTTTCCGGCAAGGGGTCGGCAAGGGCAGGGTCCTTGGGGGCGTCCTCAGCAGGAGTGTCGTCGGCGGCGGGTGGTTCAGTGGGTGCGTCTGTGCCAGCCTCTTCTGAGGCCGATGGTGGGCTCACTTCACCTGTGCCGTCAACGAGGGTGGTTGGGCCGGACTCGCCGGGCGTGTGGTGGGCTGGGGATAAAGCAGGAGCAGCGGCGTCTGGGTCAGTCAGTCAGGGCGGTGCCCAAGCGGGCGCGGACGTGGACAAGTAGGCTGCTGACGTGGGAGAGAAAGATGGAAGACGACAAAAAAGAGAGGATGGGGTTCGCGTGTGACGGGGATTCGGGAAAGCAAAGAGGGCCGGGCGGGCTAGCGCACAGCAAAACCACGCATGCTGGAGGCGCGGCGAATCGCAGGCATGCATGGCAGCCCAACCCCAGACGGCGGGCGGCGGGCACGTGACGATAAGCTCAGCGCGACACTGGCAGCATGTGTTGGCAGTGTGGGCCGCCAAAGGAAATTTCTGGGGCGGCCAATGGGAGCGTCCCACATGCAATGGCCTAGCCCGATTCGCTGCATGCAGGGCGCCATCGCGCGCCCGTGCGCTGCCATAGGTGTAGAGCTACCGGCGACAAAGAACATGCAAACATCCACCACAGTGCCGGTGACAGGAAAAAGATATGAAAAGCAAGCAAACGGCCTATGTCGACGTACCTGCTGCCTCGCATGCGCTCCCCGCGTCATCTGACCCCGTTGCGCTGTCGCTGGCCGTCCCAGCCTCCGAGCCCAAGGCCGGCGCATCCTCACCGACACCAGCGCTCGGAGCAGCTGTGCATGTCTCCTCTGCTGCATCCGCGCCAGCACTACCCGCACTGCATCCTTGCGCGGCGTCGGCCGTCTCGTGTGCATCCTCGGGACCGGTGCTGTCTGCCTGCACTGCAAACACCTCGACAGTCTCGTCAGCCGGTGGGGGCTCTGACTTGTCCATGTCGTCGCGGCTGAGTTCGATCGAGCTTCGCCATGTACTGGGCGCATCAGCATCATCATGTTCAGACGAGTCGCTTTCATTCGCATCGCACTGCCATGAATCGTCGTCCTCTTTTTCCCAGTCCGAGACATCCACCTCGGAGTCGTCGCCAATCATGTCATCCATCGTGTCATCAATCATGTCGTCGTCAGAGAACTCTTCCTTGTCGTTGCGAGCAACACTGCCGTCGTCCGCGTTTTCCTCCTCCATGGCAGCCTCGTCTTCCTGCGCGGCCAGTATAGCTTCGTCGACTTGAGAACCTTCGCCGACATCTTCGCATCTTGTGTCGGCTTCGGTTGTATTCACGGCGTCTGCAGGTGCGGGGGCATCGATAGACTCAGCATCAGCTACATTACATTAGCATATGAGTGAATGACGTGTACTGGACTCATTCGAGTGACTCATTGCAAGGCGCGGCAATAATACTTACGTGCTGCATCAGCGCTTGGTCCATTGGAGCCCACCTCTGCTTCCACTTCATTGCTATCAGTTGGGGCTGGGGCCGGAGGAGCGGCTTCGACCTCGCTTTGCGCTGCAACATCTTCCACCTCTGAAGTTTCTGCTTCGGTCTCTTGTGATCTCTCCACTATAACCTCTTTGCCATTTGCAGGAAGCTCTTCAGAGCATGGCTCTGTACTCGAGGGTGCTTCAGCGACGCTTGGCTCAACAGGAGCATCAACAGGAGCTTCTTCACTAACAGGAACCTCGGCGGGAGGAACCTCTTCAGTTGCAGTTGCTTCTTCAATTGCTGGAGTCTCTTCAGAAGGGGTCTCTTCAGCAGGGACCTCAACAGGAGCCTCTGCAACAGGAGCCTCTTCAGCAGCAGGCTCTTCAGCAGCAGGCTCTTCAGTTGTAGGTACCTCTTCAGGTGTAGGAACCTCCTCACTAACAGAAGAAGGTTCCTCAGCCACAGGAGCCTCTTCGGGAATAGCAGGTGCTTCGGCAGCAGGGGTTTCCTCGACAGCAGCTTCTTCCATGGCGACCGGCGGCGGTGCTACGTCCTCGGTAGCCGCGTCGACAGGAACGGGCACAACTTCCACAGCAGGAGCATCTTCGGTGACCGGAACCTCGTCGACAGCAGGGTCTTCTAGGGCAGCCGGTGTCTCTGGTGAAACGGCGGCATCTGCCGAGGCACTAGGCGAACCTTCTAGAGCAGGGGTTTGCTCGGCTGTCGGTACCTCTTCGTCAGCCGCAACAGGGGTCTCCTCGATGGCCGGCGTTTCGTCAGTGGGGGTCTCATCAACGGCTGGCGCTTCGTCACTAGCAGGGATCTCGTCGACAGTGGAAGCTGCTTCAGCTGCCTGACTTGGGCTCTCCACTGGAGGCTCTTCGTCAGTGGCAACAGCTTCTTGAGCTTCGGCTTGTTCCTCTACTGCAATAGCGTCTTCAGAATCCGGTACTGTCTCATCACCAGTGGCAGCATCTTCGGCAGGCTCGGTTGTCTCGATTGAGTCGTCTTGTGGTTCGGATGAATCCTCGACAGGAGCCTCAGCCTCGGGCTCAGCCCTATCCATTTCGACAGAGGGGGCTTCGGCTGGCTCGGGTGCAGGCTCCGAAATAGGTTCTGGAGCTGGCTCTGTTGCCGGCTCAGGTGTTGGCTCTGCCTCGACTTCCGGTGCTGGTTCTGCTGATGGCTCAGGTGCTGGTTCAGATGGTGGTTCGGGTGCTGGATCAGACTCCGCCTCAGGTGCCGGTTCTGATTCTGCTTCAGGTGCTGCCTCTGGTGCTGCCTCTGCCTCTGCCTCTGCCTCTGCTGCTGATTCAGGTGCGGGCTCCGACTCTGGCTCTGGAGCCTCAGCAGGCTCAGCGGCGGCCGGTTCATCTGGCACCGGCTCTGGGGCTTCATCAGCAGGTACAGGCTCGGCAGGTTCAGGTTCAGATTCCGGTGCAGCAGGCTCTTCAGGCTTTGGTGGATCCTCTGGTACGGGTTCTTGTGCTTCTGCAGGTGCCTCAGGGGGAGCGTCGGCAGGAGGCTCAGCAGGAACTTCAGATGGAGGGTCTGCTGGAGGGTCTGCTGGTGCTGTCTCTGGTGGAGCCGGTGCTTCCTCTGGCGGCGGAGCACTTTCCTCCTCTTTACTTTTCTCAGCCTCCGCTGCGTCTTCATCAATGACTACTTTGTATGGCACACTGTATGGCGCAGGCGGGTTACGGACTAGCGAGGATTGGATTATCGGGGCTTGGACTACAGGAACTTGAGCTACCGGGGCTTGGGCTACTGGAGCTCGGGCTACCGGTGCTTGGGCTACCAGTGCTTGGACTGCTGGTGCTTGGACTGCTGGTGGAGGCGGCGGCGGTGATGGAGCGGGGTTGCTGACGATTGATCTGGCGACTTGTTGCGGGGTCTCTTCGATAATGCAGTCTGATATCACTGACGAAGGAACGTCTGACATGGCGACTGTCCCCGCATCGCTTGATGGGGGGCTGGGATCTACGCCTCTTGTCCTAGTTGTTAACCTTTCCTCTCTGCTTAGCTTTGGTTTCTCGTTTGATGAGGATGAGAGCTGGGAGCTCCTTCTGCGCGTTCTTACGTAGCCGTCTGGCGAAATGATCCTAAACTGCTCCACTCTCCTCTTGTCCTTTTCCTTCTTCTCTTTCGGGGGCAGCTTAGGTGACTTCTTCAGACGAACAAACGCTGTAGCTTTGACCCTACTGAATCCCATGGACTTCTTTCTCCTGTAGTCTTCTGAGGCGTCTGGGTCTTTGGTGTCAGAGGTAAAGTGGACAAACTTTTTTGTTGGAGATTCAGGGGGCTCTTGAGCGGCCTGCTCGGACTCACCACTCTTCTCATCCTCGTCTACTACTGTCTGGGGTGCTGGTTCCACGGGTGCTGGTGGGGGTGGAGGGGGTAAAGCTTCCACGGGGGGTGCTGGTGCCGGTGCTGGTGGGGGTGGCGCTGCTTCCAGCACGACAGGAGTGACATCCACCGGTGCAGGTGGAGGTGGTGGTGGTGGTGGTGGTGGTGAAGCATCTTGGTTCTCTCCTGATCCTGAAGGTTCAGCTGTGGTGTCGGTAGGTATGGCTTCTGGCACGGCGTCACCGGCAGGACTTGGTGTTGTACCTTGTGGAGGTGCCTCTACAGTGGCGTCTGGTGTTGTGGCAGGCTGCTCTGAAGGCTCTGGTGCAGGCGGGGCATTCCCTGTGTCTACTGTTGTCAATTGGCTCTGCTGGACACGTATGACAACACGTCAAGCATACCTGCTTGGGTATTATCATTACTACTGCTGGTCTCACCTGCCGTCTGGCCTGCCAGGGGGTTATAGGAGAAGGCAGCCGGTATACGGCGATAGACAATGGGCAGTGGTTCTGGTTCTGGTGGTGGTGGCGGAGGCGCTGGTGCACTGGCCGTGACGTACAAGTGCTGGCCGTTGTTTGTTGGGGAGTTGCCGTAGGGGTTCTCCCATTGCGATATCGAGACATTCGCGAATTGACGCATGGTGGGTCAGACAAACACAGTATGGCGGGTTGGGGAGCGGAGAATCGGACAAGCGGTGCTAGGTGCTATATCTGACGTTTCCGCAGTTCCATTGCCGGCAACAGCAAGTAACAGACGAGCAATGGCAGCATACAACGTGGGGAGCGAAGATGGGGCGTGGAGAGACGAATAAGAAATGAAGTCAGTCTAGACGAGGCACGGATCGTGGAGGTGCTATGTGTGTGCGTGGCTTCAATCGGGCCCAAGCTGGGGACGGAGCACTGCGATCAGAAGCAAGGGCGTTGCAGGACAGTTGTCACAAGACGTGATGCGCAAAGGGGTAGGGAGAGACATGGCGCGGCGTGGATGCAATGGTTCGGCAAGGCTCAGCGCAGTGCTCCCGATGCTCCCGCAAGCCTCACGTAACCACGACGAGCTTGGCCTGCAGGCGCCATTGGGCCACGTAGGGAAACATAGTTCGTTGCGAGCGACCAGATGGCGAGCCCAAGAGGTGGGCTCGGGCAGCCGCAGTGCTCCCGCCATTGGCCCGGCGGCGAGCTAGCTGCAGCATGTGTCGCGGGCGTGGAGCGCAGAGGGGCGGGCGTCGTGGTGGTGGTGGTGGTGGTGGTGGTGGTCGACGTCGTGGTACCCTTTGGCACCGCCAGCGCTGCGGCCACCGGAAAGCTTGGGTGCGCGCACGAAGGAATTGCCAGCCGACCAGGAGCATCCGTGTTGCGAGGCGAGCCTGGCGACGAACCAAGACGGGCGGGCGGTGCAGGGGGCGGCGTCGTGGGGAGGTCCGGCCGTGATGGCGACAGTGAGGGAGAGGGTGGTTGATGGACGTCGAGTGACGTGGCGTGGGCGTGGGCCCGGGGAGCAGGGAAGCCCTTTTCTAAGCGAATGATTCAGGTCGAGCCGACCCGAGCGTCTTTTTTTTTTGCTTTAGCCCTTTTTTTTTGCTTTGGCTTTTTTTGGCTTTGTCTCTGGCTTCCATCGCCTTCTCTGCCGCCATCGCCAGCCATCGCCGCCATCGCCGCCGCCGCCGCGACGTGGGGCTCACCCACACCCACACCCACACTCGCTCTGTGAGGAGCCGACAAGTCTCCGGCCCACCTGCTGCGACGCCCACGTCCAGGTACTCCTAGTACATGCTCACTACGCTCCTGTGTGTACAGCGCAGCGCAGCGCTGCCCTCGCACTCGCTCTGCGCCTCGTCGAGTGCCACCGCCCGAGTGACACCTGGATGGCACGCACGCCTCGCAGCGCTGCAGTGACGCCCTCCCCTCTCTCTCGCCTCGCCCAATCCATCGCCCCGTGCAGCAAATGACGCGTATCTTGCCATCGGTTGCGCAAGCTTATGCAGCGGCTATCGAGCTTGTTCAAGAGCAAGAGCAGAGTCTGGAGCAAAGGCGGAGACCCCACGCCCACGGCGGGCGAATCTGATGCCTGTACGTGTTTGCAGCCCAATGCTCCGTGTGGCGATGCAGCGGCAACGGGCGCTGCGTCAGCAATACTCGACCTCTGCACGTCGTATGGCAAAAGTGTTGGGCGTGGGCTTGGGTTGATATCGCAGACGGGCCGTCGTCACGTGAGCGCTCCATCTGCGGGCGTGCGCTAGTCAATCTGTGCATACCAATACTGCCTATCAGGCACATGTCTACTTACGCGAACAAGTCAGCATCGCCAGAATAACGTGGGCTGACCCCAAAAACCCCCTCGTTTGCGAACAAGTGTCCATCGGCGATATGAAAGCCAATTCCCCCAAAATCTGACGCCCATCTGCAACACGTCCAAAAAGTCAACTCCTCTCCTACACCTGCTCGTCTTGCAATTTCAGTACCCCCGCCGCCTCCGTCAGCTCGTCTTCCCATGCCACTGTGCCCCTCAGCTCCGCCATCACTCCGCCCCATTTTCTATTCGTCTCCTCGTCTCTCACACAGCGCTTGCAACTGCTGCTCCTCCTATGCCGCTTGCGATTAGCATTCATCTCTGCTGCTCTAAAAGCAAGATGCATATCCACGCCCTGCCACGTCCTACAGCCAAACGTTGTCCACGTCACTACGTCCATAAGCGGCGGCGAGTTTTCCGAAGTGACTGTAATGGCTGGTGTTTGCAGCACTGTGTCTTCAGCCTGAAGTGTAATTGTCGTGCACCCTTCCACTTTGGATAGTTGGCTGTCGTGATTTGCACTTGCGCCGCCCTTTCGTTCCAAGCTTTGCGCATGGAGCCGCTGAACTTGCCCAACCACGTCTGGCATGCCCCCGGTGAAACTTAGCATTCTGGGAATGGTGTCGATGTAAACTTTGCGTTGTTCCCTGTCCACGTTGATTGGCTTGGGCAGGCGAAAGAAGATTTTCCCTCGTCGCCCGCAGAAGCGACAGACTTGTGGCACTGTTATTCCCTTTAGCTCTGCCTTGCGGCAGAAGGCGCAATCAGAGCGGATCATAGTCACTTGCTGAGCTATTTTGCGAGGCATTTTGGCTGACCTAAGGGTCATATTGCTGTCAGTGATATGCTCGCATATGCAGCGTTGTAAAGTCACTCACAGGTTCAGGGGGAAGCGTACATGCAGGATATCAACGACTATTATTCCGCACCATCGGTTTTAAACAGAGCAATCGAGCGACATGTTGTTAATGAGCTTTGATAAACCATGGTTCGCAATTTTCAAGTGAGTCGGAAATGGCCATACTGAGCTATGAGTGGTTTCTGTGCACTAGGTTTCCAGTCTCACAGTAAGCAACGTGAGAGGATGCAGAACTCTTTTTTTTTGCAGAAGATGGTTTACTTACCTGAATGGCTGTTGCTGCTGTTGATCCACCCGCCTCAACGTACGATTGGCCAATGACATGATCCACTGTCGAGATGGGAAGGCACGCCCATCAGGCAGCATATCAACACTGACCAACCGCCTTCTCTCTGATACCAATCCAACAGACACACCATCCCTCTAGTTTCTGCCCCGACCAATTACCAGCACACATGGCAAATATCGCTCGCCAGGACAATACTGCATCAAGCAAATCCGGTAATCACCCTCCTCAGCACTTCCTCGCCCCCAATCATTTCACCACCATACCCAATGGCTATTCATCACACCCACGCTGACCAAAAAGCCATGGTCGACTGGCCCCTTTACATGATAACCGCCGCAGTCAAGTTCTCATCAGCGCGGGCCCACGAATCCACCACGACGTACGCCACGCCCGACGCAGCACGCATGGACATCCTCAACCTGCTCAACTGGTACGAAGCCCACGCCGATTACGCCTGGCCCGATTTCTCCAGTCTCGGCTTCGACTTCTCGCTGGCGATGCGCTGGCGTCGCGCCCTCGTCAACGACGTGTACATTGCGCTCAAAAAATCTGGTACCGTCAGGATAGCGGCTGAATGCGAGCTGCCCAGTACGCCCCTGATTCGAGTTGCTTGCGGCAAGAGGTCGAGTTCAGATGGTGAGTACTGCGCATCTTTTGTTCCACGGGTGCTGCGTGGGCGGTGTATTGACTGCCATGCAAGCTGGAGGACGTACGATGGCGGAGCAGAAACGGCACTGCAGGCGCACAGGAAGCGAGAATACTAGTTTCGCGTCTAGCGAGAGTACGGTGCGCGGCGAGGAAGACTTGATGCTGGCTACCAACATACGGCCTCTGATTTGCCTTTCTGAGCATGCGGTCCGCAAGTTGATGTTTGATTTCGAGGGCGAGAACGACGGTGGCGAGAAGGTACTTGCAGAGAAACCCCGCGTTTTCACGGCCGAACTGCAAAGCATGCCGAACGAGCCATGTTCGAATCAAGAGCTCGAGGCCAGGACTGAGGCTCTCAGAGAGGCGTCCAGCACACTGAGCCCTGAGCTCTGAGCAGGCAGGGTTGGGAACGGGAACGGGAACGGGAACATGTTCGGAAGAGTCTCGTCAGTTCCCCCAGTGCAGACGATAGCGGCGGGATCAAACTCCAGTGGAATACTAAGCAATCGTGTCAGCGGAAGAAAGTCAAACAAAGCAGTGGAAAACAAGATATCAAGGCACAAGATGAACGGTACGGATTCTCATATCTTAGTCATAAGCATGTACTTGTTGGGCTCAAGTATCTAGCTCATCTTCGTAAATTCATCACACATGCATTCATAAGCCATGTCTTTTTCAACCGCGTCTTTACACCACCACCACCCAGTCGACAGCTACAAGCCACTTTTCAAGTCCAACATCAATCTCCCACGTAGGCGCACGTACAGCAATCACATTGCCAACTCTGACTTTGACGCCTCGCGCGCTTCTTGCGCCGCCCTGGCCCGCGAGGAGAAGTCTTACAGCTCCATTCTCGACTGCGAGAGTGGACGCTCTCAAAGCACTACCCACACCTGGCTCTATCTCGCCCCTCGCAAACACGACACCGCCGGCATAGCACCCGATGTCCTGCATCTCGGCCTCACGGGCTCCACCCCTAGACAAACCCCTGACGCGTATCCGCATCTTGACGCCGTCTTCCTTTTCCCTCGCGCCACCCGCCACGCCCCTTTCCTGCGCCGCGAAGCCCGTAGTAGCCGCCTCGATGATCCACGCTGAGACGGTCGCCGCGAGGCCGCCTGGTACATGTTTTCCCGTCTTGCGCGAAGGGGAAAAGATGTCTGGCGGTGGTCTGGCGGGCCTGGGGGGAGACGTTGGCGCCGCAGGGAGAATGAAGTGGGGACGATGCGAAGTTGATGGTGCTGTTGCCGCTGATGCAGCGACCGAGGCGATGCTCGGAAAATGCGCAGGGGTACGGGATGCTGGTGGTGGCGGTGGTGGTGGTGGAGCTACTTTGAACCGGTGTGTTGTTGAGTTGTGTACTGCAACGGGTGTTGAAGGCTCTGCATGCTGCAGGGGCGGCGAGCTCGGAGTCGACATGCGCAGTCGCTTGTTGCGCGTGGTGGATTCAAACAGCATTTCGTCATCGTCGCTGCTTTGCGGGTAATATCTGGACTCGTCGGGCGGCGCATCCTGGTCTTCGGTCGACGGTATGACGCCAGAGGCATACGTCTCGTCTAATACCGCGTCCGACACGCTGGATTGGCATGGCTCCTCGATGCTTTCCACGCGCTCCAGCTTCCGGCGCGGTCTGGGTAGTGGCGCGTGCTGCGGCTGTGCTTCATAGCTTGTCTTTGCGCCTGCCTCCCGAAGCCTCGCATTCTCCGATGCAATCTTCTTTTGCGGCGCAATGACAAATCGCTTGGCGGGTGTTATCTTTTTGGCGGGCAATCCTGGCTGGGGCGTGGGCGTCTTTGCAGCAGCGGGAGGCTGGAGTGTAGCTGCATTGCGCAGGCTTGAGTGCGGCCTGGTGGAATTTGGGGCCGAGTGCGGGTTGGGGTTGGGGTTGGGGGCTAGAAAGCGGTGCGGCGAGGGCGTATGGGCCGGCATGCTGATGGCGACAGTGACAGTGACAGCAGCATTGGTAGCGGCGGGCGCCCTGTCGCTGGGGCTGTTGGGTGGCGGAAGATGCCTGTCGCATCGCGAAGTCGCGAAAAACGCGGGGGCGCGCGGTCACGGGGACACGGGGCGCTAGGCTGCTTCCGGGGGCTGGCAGCGACAGGGCGCCCAAACAAAACATGCTACAACCACCGCCTCGGCCGCATCAAGCAATGCCGAGACCCAACACGACGACACACCGCGCTTAGAGGGCGCCAAGCTACCCGCGCTACATTCCTCACCCAGCGAGTACGAAGTACGTCCGAGCCGCCTTTACACAGCCGTCAGTCAGCAATTTCCGCACAATTGTACGCCAGCCATGGAGGTGAGGGCTCGCACACGACGAATCGGCGAGTCGGGAATGAGCATGCGGTCGCGCTTTGATGAGCCCAGCCATCTTGTGTAGGAGCGTGTCGCGGCTGGACCGAGCGGTGGAGTGATCTCATAGCACGATTGGCGTACGGGAGATCAACGGTATCCCTGGATTCGACGTTGTCCCTGTGGAAACAGGACATGCCTCGAGCATTGCCCGGGGGCAGACGCGGCCAAATACAACAGGATGTTCGCACGTCCGGCACGCATGCGTGGATGCAACCAAGCTGCCAGGACGGGGGGGTTGCAGGATCAGGGCGAGGGATGCAGACATGGCCTATGTATGTGGTCGTCGATAAAGCATGGATCGGCTATGCCGCCCCGGGTGGTGCGGCGAGGAGGAGCATGGCCCGGAACGAGGCGAAGCCAGATGGCACAGCGATGCGAGACGACGGTCTGCGTGTGTACGTAAGTAAGTATGTGGGCAGTAGGAGTATGAATGTGCATACTACGGCGGCGTGCTGCGCCGGCGCATCGAGTCCAGCATGTTCTATTTTGACGACTGGCGGCGTAGACATGTGCCGAACAGGGCGCCCGCCAGCCACGGCATTTCGCCCCCCCCCTCGACGGGACTATCGGCGCCAGGGCGATAAGGCGTTCGCAGGCCAAAACAAGGCTAAAGAAGAAACCTGCTGGAGCTGCAAGGTACGCCCCCTAATGATCTGACGGGGAAGACGAACAAAGTGGGTGGCAGGATCGCGCAGTGGCCTGGTGATTGGTGTGGAGAGCTCGGGGCTAAGCCCTAGCGGAGCTGCGAGAGGCTGGAAGCTCCCAGCCACAAGATGCGCAACATCGATTAGAACAACACCAGTTCTGCCCTACACCTAATTGCTGCCCTACCACGCTCACGTCTCGCGTCATCTTTTCTGCCGCGACAACCGTCACTCTTTTGCTTTTGCAGCTGCAGCTCGAGCTTCTCCCCGACGACCCGCTTGCTCTGCAGTCTCTCTCTCTCTCTCTCTCTCTCTCTCTCGCTCGCTCTCGCTCTCGCTCTCTCTCTCTGCTTGCAATTGCAGCGGATGCCCTATACCGCCGTCCCACCACGCTGCCCAGGCGGCTCCACCTCTTGCTGCACCCACTTCCGCTCGACGCGCCTTCTCTCCTTCCGCAGCACTCGATAGCCGCCCTACAAACGACTGCCGCAGCATGGCTAACAAAACCATGCACACTCCCGCTTTTGGCGGCGCCCACGCTGCCGGCATCTTTTCCGACATGACTGTCGACGGACCGGTCATAGGCACCCTGGTTGTGATCATGGACCGCGCCAGGAATCTTCCCAACAAGCGGACAATGGGGAAACAGGACCCCTACTGTGCTGCACGCCTAGGTAAAGAGGCGAAGAAGACGCGGACCGACAAGCGCGGCGGCCAGACACCGCGATGGTGAGTTTGCCGTCCACCACCCAGGCCGCCTCTCTGACATATGCAGGGACCAGGAATTACGCTTCACGGTTCACGATTCTCCCGACTACAACCGCCTCAAGGTGTCCGTCTTCAACGACGACAAGAAGACGGAGCTGATTGGAGAGGCCTACGCAAATCTCCAGTCCGTCATCATGCCTGGCGGAGGGCAGAGTGACGAGTGGCTCGGCCTCAACTGCAAGGGCAAGTATGCCGGCGAGCTGCGCATGGAAATCACCTTCTACGACACCCGCCCCAAGGCAGAGAATCAGATCCCGGAGAAGAAGAGGTCTTCAACTAGGCTAGAGGAGAGAGCTGCTGTGGGCGGAGCCCGAGAGATGACGCCAGTCAAGCGACGGCCGCTGCCCACGGACCCCACCGGTGCAACTCCTTCGCCAGCCCACACGCCCGAATACCGCGGACTGCGAGGCATGCGTGCTGGCCCCCGAGAGCTGGGGTCTCCACGACACCAGAAGACGCCGAACGAGACACCGCCCTCTCATCGAAGTCACGGAGACGCACCCAACCGCAGGCCCGTGCCGGACTCGTCCCCACTGCACCACGTATCCACACCGACATCAAGCCAGAACACTCCTCAGCGGCCTCCTGCACAGTCTCCGTACGGCACATCGCCCAGCCCGCGGTCTTCCAACCAGCGGCTGCCCATGACACGAGAAGAGAGCTTCGACATGTCGTACGCAGCGCCCAAGCCGTACGAAGTGAAGCCAATTGACCCTTTACCACAACATGTACGCCATGCAGAGCCAAGGAAGATGTCTCAAGACGACGCTCGTTCTCGTGGCCACCAGCAGCAGCACCCTGCTGAGCCGGTCCACTCGCATTCGGCCCCAGCAGTCCCGACTCAGCACAACTACGAGTCAACAGCGCACGAGCAGCAGATACAGAACCAGCAAAAGCAAATTGAGTACCTGCAACAGCAATTGCTGCAACACCAGCAGCAGCCTGCAAGGACTGATCAGATGCAGCGACCCTCTTCGGCGCATGTCCAACAAGATCCGTACCAGGATCCTGTCTACCAAGTTGCGCCTTTGCGAAGCAACCGCAACCGCGGCTACAGCCAAGATCAAGCATCTCCTCAGAACCCATACTACGGCCAAAGATTCATCGAAGCGCCCCCGCCGCAAGAGGAGAGCCCCACGCACCGAAGGCGTAGTGCCATGCAACCCATGGTTGAGGACGAGGATGACATGCCACCACCGCCGCCAATGCATAAGCGCAACGCGAGCACGCTGCCTCACCCCGGCCGTGAGAGCCAAGACAGGTACCACAACGATGCTCCAGCGCCGCTCAGTTTTGGAGCGCGATCCCAAGAAGATCCTCGTCGGATCAGTTTCGATGCAGCACCGCCCCAGCAGTACGAGCCTATTGACTATGCCCCTCGGCAACCTTCGGAGCGACGATACACGCATCCCCGCATGCCAACGCAATCACCAAGTCGTCCGGTATCCCGGGACGCCATGGCGCCCTCTCCACTGAGACAGGAGCCTCTCCGGCAAGAGTCTGTGAGACAAGATGTGCAAGCCTTGCCATCTAGTCTTATCCCCGGAATCAGCCCCGTAAGACAGGAGATTGAGCCTGCGTCATATGATGCGCCTCCGTCTTATGAGTCTGCGCCACGGCTGCGTCACTACTCCGAGCCTGCCGAGTATCGGGCCATTACCCAGTTTGAAACGCCCGTACAGTCACAGGAACTGGTTCACCACTCGGCGTACCACATGAATGATTACTATCCTCACGATCCTCCCGAGCAGCCCCGCCAGCGATCTCCTCCGGTATATGATCCTACTCCTATTGTCAAGCCTCGTGCTACGAGTCCTGGTGTGAATCCGCGATACTCGCCTAATCCGGTCCCTGATCGCTACTCTCCCCATCCTGATATGGACCGTCACTCACCTAACCCGGTCACTGAGCGCTCTGCCCGACTGCCTGCGCGTAGCATGCCGACTCGCAAATCGGTATCGCCTCGTCCACCACCTCCTCTCGAAAACTCAAGCGAACGCAGGTTATCTGGAATTGCATTCAACCCTGACAGCTTCGATGTTTACAACCCGAGGGTTTCCAAATCACCAATTCCTTCCGACGATGAGCCTGACCGCCCGGGTAGTCGCATGGAGTATAATGAAAAGGGCCAAATTGTTACTTTCAGTGGCCGGGTTGTTGATGCTTCAGATCACCTGCCAGTCGACAATTGGGCACCTGAGCCTGTACCCAAAGGCACTGTGAAAGAAAAGGCTCCTCGTACACGACCTCAGCTGAACGGCAGCCGTGACCTTGAGGCTGCGATGCAGCGTGAAGAGAGGTATCAACGCGATCGCGCTGAACGGGAGCGCATCCGCCATGCCGCAAGCATGAACTTTGACAACAGTAATGCCCTTGTCCCTTCGGGGCATGATTTCAATGATTACAGCTCGCCCGTCAATGCTGGAGCGCTTGTACTCGCCAGCCACCGCGCTCCGCAATACATGTCAAATACGCGTCCCAGAGTGCAGACGCGTGATCAGCAGCCACGCCCCGTCTCTGCCTATGACAACCCGCAATACAATCTGCCAGACCGGCAAGTTCTTCGTGAACGTGACAACCCCAACACGTACGGCGGTAGCTATGACCACCGCGGCACTCACCGACACAGTGTCGCTGCACCGCCTATTCCCGCAAAGGTGCCTATCGACATGGGCGGAGGCGGCTATGGCTCTCAGAACGATGAAATGGCACTCAGTCTGGAACTCCAAAGCATCGACATTGGACCTGGATCTGGAGGACGACGACCACGAGCTACGGTTAGACGACAGTATGGATACTAACGGTAAATGTGAAACAAGGTGACGCGTTCTTGCACGTTTTGTATTGTTTTTGTTTCCCTTATCATGCTCTCACAGCTCTGTACGATAATGTGTTTTGTTTTGTTTTCTGCTTTGTTTTTGCTGTTCTCTTTTTCTTCATGGAAGGATGAGGGTGGGAAAAGAAGGTAGGTGTAGGAAAGGGAAGGAAAGCAAGGGCAAAGTGGCGTTGTTCTTCTCTTTTCTTTTGGATCCGGTGTTCCGGTGTCCAAGATTGGTGCTCGCTCGATGTCTTGGTCATAGCCGACTAGGACATGTCGGAGTCTTTTTCTTTTCTTTTCTTTCTCCCCCCGTTCCTTTCCTGATTCAGGTGGGCGGGGTTCTTTTTTTTTCATGTCCAAATATACTTATTCTAAAGAGGCTTAGTTTGCAAACAGATAGATATCCTGCGCAAAGGTGCGTGTTCCCATCCTTTTCTTCTTCCTTTCTTATTACGCGCTCGTAATACATACATCTACGCTACTCATGCTCGTTGCTCACGTTTTCATGTGCAGCGCTATAGAGTTGTCTTATGCTAGTGTTCAAATCATAAGACATAAGTAAGCCGCGCTTGTGTGCAGTCGCTTCATCGATAGTCTACTGATGTATAACGTATGTGGCAAGCGAGCGCCGCAGGTAAGCGAGCGCCGCACCCCACCAAACCTGCGCACCTCTCCTATCTCAACGAACAATGGCTTAACGTAGCGCTACTTAATTAGCTTTAAATGAAGCAGATATTCAGCTTGCTATTTCTTCTATTAATCTCCATCAAACACAAAGTAATCGTCGCGCTGCTGCTGTCTACAACGTGTCTGAACGAACAATCCGCCGCCGACGCGCTGGTATACCTGCTCTGTAACGGCGCAGGTAAGGCAGGTCGGATCTGTTTCGGTCGTAGGATCACTCAGAGGCATATGGGAGTGCGTGGGATCACAAAGAGCCTAGATTCAACAAGCCACCTATAGGCCTTGTACGAAAGGATATCAAAAGTCTACAGAGCTAGCTACAGGGAGTGTCTCAATATATACCTATCCTAGTCGGGTCCGAATTCGGATCCGACCTCGGGCGAATGGCTGATGAAGGGCGGCAGGTACTTCCTCCGATCCGGCTC